GGAGATGAGAACTATAATCTGAGGTCCCGTGTATTGCAGTAGGTGCTTGCAAGAAATATCCCTCACTGCTCAATGACCCTGAGTGCCGAGAATAGGCCAAATTTGTAGTTCTCCACTGGCAAGTTGTTAAACAGCATACAATTAATCAATCAATCCAGGGAAATCCGCTGATGCTTTGGTTCCTCGGTTCACGGAGGTGCCTTCTCCTCGATCTCTTTCTCAGTGGAAATTTAAGGAAAGTCACTTTTGGATTTTGTGTAGGCTGTTTGTTTGTTTTTATGTTGTTTAATGTCTCTCTCGAGAATCTTTCACTCATATAGAGACACCAGGTAAAAAGACGCCAGCACTTGCCGCTGGCGAGCTGCAAATTCTGTCTTATGCACGGCACCTAGGGCCTTTTAGCAGGTAGGGATGTCTTTCGTGCCAGCGCCTACTGCGACAAGGGACCTCGATTTATATGATCTAATGGGAAAAACATTTTCTTTGAGTTTTCTACCCATTCTACATAAGAATTTTAGCATACAAATATTTAATATTGCATTGAGGTGTTCCAGATCTCCAATACCTACATTACATTACCATTATGTACTGGTTGATATTATTGTGTATTGCAATGACCCAAGGCGGTCAATCTACCATTACCTGCTGCATTAATAATTTTTATGCCCCCGGATCGAAAGATCCCATGTGTATATTGTTTTTGTCCTGTCTGACTGTTTGTCTCTCTGTCTTTCGGTCGTCAAATTTAACCTAGCCCATAACTATTGAGTTTGCTTGGATATTGCTTTCATATTTCACAGGTGCATTCCTTGTGACAAGAACTAACCATTGAAACCACCAAATTTGACCTCTTGACCTTGCAGTTTAGCCTACTTTTACAAAAAAAACACCACACGTTAACCTTGGTAATAACTTTTGAACATTTTGAGCGAGCTAGGTGTTGGGTTCTATCCTTCACATGTGTATTCATAATGACAAGACCTTTCAGCTGGTATAAATATTTTTGACCTTTTGACATTTACCTTAGAGTTTGACCCACTTTTTAAAAACTTTAATCTTGGTCTCAACTTTTTAACAGTTAAAAATAGGGCTTTCATATTTTACAGGTGTATTCCTTGTAATAAGACCATCCTTTGGATACTAGACTTTTGACCTTGACCTTTGGAGTTTGACATGCATTTAAAAGAATTCAACTCTGCTACTACTCGTATTTTGTATTGTTCCAATGGACTTTTAAGCTTAAAAACTGTACGTAATCCCACTGTTAAGGAAGACTTTTGTACTTACATACTGGATGTTATGTACTCTTTCAGAAGTTTTCATTGATTGATAGTGGAATCATTGTTCTGTTGATTCTGTAGAGCTCCAAGATTCCCTGTAGAGCTCCAAGATTCCCTAAATTCTAGCTAGTATGATAGAAATGACATCCGGATACACAATAATAATTTCTGTCACAACATTGGCAGGTCACTCCACTTTAGCAGGGTATTGGCCACAGTTCGAATTCTCTCTTTTGCGGCGATTCAGTGATCTTCTATAGACAACGGCATTCCATGCATGTTTCCTTAACAGTTTCCAATAGATAATTGGAATTAAGCATATTTACATTTCTAAGAGTCTTTTGGCAATTTGAAATTTTTAGCAAAATAAGTTACGCATTACCTGTTCTTATCAGGAATTTTCGGCTTTTCCTACAAGGTTACAATTGCAACATCACATTTGGAATCTCAAAGTGTCATTACTTCCTTAGTCAATTGCAATCTCTTTTCGAACCAGAAGCTGCATTATAGATATAGTTGGTATTCGTATAAAACCTGTCGTTTAATAGTTAGACAGCACATACTCAGGTGCAGTTGTTTGCAAATCTTTAATCTATTAAAAGATTATATTAATGATAGTTTTTTCTCACTCAATCCTCAGAAGTGCGAACTTCTCCATGACCTCGGGTATCAAAATTTTGAAAACTCAGAAAAACAAGAGGCCCAAGGGCCACAGCGCTCACCTGAGCACATCGGCTAGGAAAAAGCACATATCAGATCAGAACTGAAAGTTGACTAAGGTGGGGGGGCTTGAATTTTAACCCCCCAGGGGGTCATGATTTTAACAAACCAGAATTTACACTACTTGAGAATGATTCCATATGAATATCACTCATCATGGATTTGAAGTACATGAAAAGAAGATTTTAAAAGGTTTTCCTATATATTCCTGTGTAAAACTTTGGTTGGTCATTTTGGCCCCACCCTAGATCCGGGGGTTATGATTTGAACAAACTTGAATCTACACTACCTGAGGATGATTCCACATGAGTTTCATCTTTCCTGTCTCAATGGTTCTGAAGAAGATTTTGAAAGATTTTTCCTATATATTCCTATGTAAAACTTTGATCGGCTATTTTGGCTCCACCCTAGCCCCGGGGGTCATGATTTGAACAAATTTGAATCTACACTACCTGAGGATAATTTTACATGAGTTTCATCTTTCCTGTCTCAATGGTTCTTAAGAAGATTTTTAAAGATTTTTCCTATATATTCCTATGTAAATCTTTGATCGGCCATTTTAGCCCCACCCTAGCCCCGGGGGTCAAGATTTGAACAAATTTGAATCTACACTACCTGAGGATGATTCCCCAGGAGTTTCATCTTCCCTGGGCCAGTGGTTCTTGAGAAGAGAAGAAGATTTTTAAAGATTTTTCTTAATACTCCTATGTAAAACTTTGATGGGCCTATTTGGCCCCACCCTAGCCCCGGGGGTCGTGATTTGAACAAATGAGAATCTACACTACCTGAGGATGATTTTACATGAGTTTCATCTTTCCTGGCCCAGTGGTTCTTGAGAAGAAGAATTTTTTTTAAAAATGCCATTAATTTTTCTCTAATTCATAATTATCTACCTTTGGAAAAGGGCGTGGCCCTTCATTTGAACAAACTTGAATCCCCTTTACCCAAGAATACTTTCTACCAGGTTTGGTTGAAATTTGCCCATGCAGTGGTTCTTGAGAAGATGATGAAAATGTGAAAAGTTAACGACAACCACGACGACGACGATGTCCAGACAACGGAAAAAATTTTGATCAGAAAAGCTCACTTGAGCCTTCGGCTAAGGTGAGCTAATAAAAACCATATAGGTTCCGAACAAATTGGTAAAGGTGAAGTGCAAAGGATGGTAAAGAAAGATTTGCGATTGTTATGATTTTCTAAATCATATTAACTAGAATATACAATATGACTGCAGTCCGCTATAAACCGTTTCATTAAGCATTCTACGTCGGTCCTGAAATCGCACCTGTATGTGGTTTTATGTTAGACAGAATAAAAAAGTTCTGTAAAAGTGCGCTTTTAAACTCAAACCGAACCTAGTCATTCAGCTCAAGGTTTGTTGTTGTTTATTTATATGTATGTTGTTGAACTTCGCTCTCGAGAATTTGTCACTGATTCATATGGAGACGCCATACGTACCTCTGGTCGGTGGAGGGCATTGATTTTGTCATAAACTCGGCACTTTCGGCCAGTGACCAGGGGTCTTCTCAGTGTCAGCACTGTATAATAATTAAGATAGTAAAAAAAAAATTCCAATCAAGGCGAAAGGCATGGGAATATGTACTGGTATATGTTAAAAAAGCTTATTACTTCGTTTAAGAAATGACTGATTTTTTGTAAATAGTATTGTTAACGGACAAAAGTTTGTAAAATACAAATGTACTAAAATTGGAATTTCCCGCCAGTAACTACATGAAGTAGGTCATGTAAAACGTAAACAAACATTACCGAGTCTAGGCTACGGGCGATCACTCTTGTTATTTTCAGCTGGAGCTCGGGGGACAGACAAAGGTAGGGGATATACAATAATACAGTCTAAGTCTTTGGAAAATTACTGTAACTTATCGAGGAATACTTCATGGCCTTCTTATTCTGTCCCGTTTGTAGTTCCAAATACACTGTATTCCAAATCGTTCGATCTTCATAGGCTAGGCTAAAAAACAAATGGCCAGCATTTATATTTTGTCAACGTGACTTGAAACTATCCTGTGGTTATTAAAACATGTCCTGGAATTAGCTTTTTAAAAAATCAAAAAAACATATTTTTACAGAGAAGTTTTCGGTTAAAATATATCGACAAGAAACATGTATGTGCATAAAAAACTCTATTACATCAGTCAACAGATCAATAGGCGCCTAATGCTCAGTTTTTCGGAATGTTGACCTCTAAGCACCAAAATTCACATTGTAAAAAAAAAAAAAAACATTTAACATAAATCTTTATTATGATATATTTATTAACACAATCGATAATTATTATTCATACAAATTCATACAAAACGTGTGTATGCAACCTATAGGTATGAATTATTCCCTGGGGAAAGTGATCGACCTGTGTATGTTTCTGGCAGAATCGTAGAGGGCAAAGTCCACTTTTATTCATCACGTATACCATTATAGACCTATGTTGTATATCAAATCTGGGAAAGAGTTTTCATAAACCTTTTATCGGCTGTAACCATTTTCAAGTTTTATATATAATACTTTTTTTACTTCTACAATTTTTGGTTTATTTTCGTCTGGAAAAAATTTTCATATCGGGTACTAGCTTTATTAAAAATAGAATATTTGGAGACCCCTCTGTATTACTACATTTTTAATGTATTTACTTTTTCATGTACATCTGAAATCTATTGTCTAAAAATCACTATTTTTGATAGGGCGGCAACCAGAGAAAAAATAAGAAAGAAATTGTGAAAAAATAATAGATTTTAAAAAATATTGACAAAGGAAAAAAGGACAAGTGTTCCTTAAAAACCCTTTTCTGTGTGGGGTGGGGTGGGGGGTTAGGGTGGTTAGATTCCGCCAATTTCTTGCAGTTATAATACTGTAGTTCTATAAGGAAGTGAAAAAAATTGTTTTTTAAAAAAAAAATTAAAAAGTCAACAGCGTATTAGTCATACACTTGTGTTATCCGAAGCAGGTTTCTACATAAATTAAAGTATACCCAATGCTTAAAAAAACTCTAAAAAAAAAAAAAAAAGATTCTCCGTTCTCGATCTTATCTACAATTAAAAAAAACTGAGGTTGGATCGAGGGATTACCGTTATTACACAGTAAGCTCTGTACTCGAATGAAATTGTGTTAATCTTTTAATATTGATATATTTTCTATAATTTCCATATTCTGTATACTTTAAGGTCTGAAATGAAATATATACATGTACACTCTATATACAAATCTGTATAAATATTTTACATTTATCGGACTGATGCAAAAATAGGGCCTTACGGTTGGTCTGTGATAAAAACTTAATACACAATTAATAGTACAGTGTATACTTGTATTTGTGTCAGATTTATTTACATTTTGAAACAATGTGACTCAAGTTTATTTGCCAGTCTGCACATTTCTCATTACCTGTTGACATAATTTCTCTCGATACCTGCATCATACTGTACAGGTACTGTTTACTTTTAACATGTGTGTCACGGTCGTGTCTGGTAACTTGACCTGATATGACCCAATATGTTGACATTTTAATCTACAGGGTTATAGATATAAATGACCATCTAATCTAGAGATATGCAATAATTATTTCATCTGCAGCGACGATTGATTTATTTTTACCGACTTTTGATTTACTTGCATTATACAAAATTTATCTTTTCGACTCGAGATGGGCGCTAAAACAAATGAAGAACATACCAGTACATATATATTTAATCTACTCTTAAAAAAAAGAAGATGTGAGGAACACCAAAACCCATTACATTAATTTAATTCGGCAAGGATGTGTGTGTATGTGGGGGGGCCCCCGGGGGGGGGGGGGGGTAAGCAACGACCAAGGATGTAACTGATTTATTTTCTAGTCCAGCCAGGAAAGATTCACTTCCAACATTTTCTAGGACAGATTATTTTCAAATAAAGAAAAAAAGACAGCCCCCGCTAGGAATCATTTTTCCGTCCCCTTGGAGGAAAATATCTCTAGAAAAATTGAAAAAAAAGAACTCTGTATTACCATCTTCGCTAGCCAAGGGTTCCTGATACGCTTCTCTCCGTATCAGAAACCCTTGGCTAGCGAAGATGTGTATTACAAGAAACATTTTCTCTTTGTAGAAATCTTTAGAATGTTGAATCTGGAAAGTGTGGCTGCATTCTTTCTTTTCTTTTTGGAATGCTACCACATCTGTGGTCATCTTAACATCCTGTTCCGGATTCGACTTCTGCCCCGGAAGGACCTGGTTCGGATCCGGCTCTACTTCCTGTTTGACCTGTTAACGGTCTTTTCCTCTTCCTTCCTGTTCCTACAGAGGCTCCAATGGTTGGCGCTGTTACAGATAGTGCAGCATCTGTATTACGTCCTGTGCTGGGAGAAAACAGGGCCCGCCAAAAAAGTAGAACCTTTTGTTAAGCAAAAAAAAAAAAAAAAAAAAAAAAATAAACAAAAAAAAAAAAAAATGAAAACAAAGCAAAAAAAAATTAAAAACCCAGTTACTTACTGAGTAAAATAGCAGCAATAATGTAGCCCCCCCCCCTTTTGAGGGGGGGATATCAGATAAAAAAAAAATTAGAGGGAGAGAGTTACATTAATGCAGCTACGAGTCAATCGTTAAATCAATCATTGATCTTTTTTTTTAGATTGTCAGTTGGAGTTCTTTAGACTGGACAGCTAGTCAGTATAAGGAGGAGTGGCACTTTGACTCTATCCTGGGGACAGCTTTTGACGTGGGCGTCCATTGCACCATGGCTTTCTTTCTCGGCCAATACCTGTCCACGGTACAAATCTTCGTCTGTCTGTTTTTGGTACAGTGCTCCCTATTGGCTGTTCTATGTGGACCCTGGTTTGCCTGGAGCTGTCCCTGGGCCGCGCCTAAGTGGGTCCAGAAGAGGATCCGCCCCCTCAGTGAAGAGGAATGTCGTCTGGGCCTCGGGAAACAATCTTAACGACACCCGAATTAGTTCTGGACTGAAGTGCCCTCACTCATGGCATAATGATGTGTTGTTAGTCATTCTCAGTATTGTGATCTAATGTTTCCAATCTAGTATTGTTAAATAATTTCTTTAAGTAAGAAGTGGGCATGTTTATTGAACTTTTGTTAATTCAATAAAAAAAAATATTGTAATTCGTGTGATGTTAATTAACATTCTATTATTTTAATTAGGAATATAAGTGTTTGTTCAACATTGCAACGAAAGTCATCATTGAATTGAATGATTGAATTGGAGGATAGAATTTAGATTGTTTTATAGCATATGAGGAATACGGTGATTGATGTCAGAGTTAAGTATTTTATTTGTATTTGTTTATGTTCAGTGTATGTTGTTATTGATTGTGTCACCTATCCTACAAAGAAAGGATTGATTTATTTCAAAGCCTTTTATTGATCTTTTAGTGTGCTAGTATTATATTTTATCCAGGACCAAGCCCCACCCCACTCCACCCCCGTACCATCAATCTCAATTTTAAACATTAATTTTATTTCCCAAGAGTATTATAATTCATGACATGTAGAAATATATTCACATGACTTTGGTGAATCGGGTTATAATTTTTATATAATTTTAAGATGCGTGTGCTAAAGCTGTGTTGTATACATGTACATGTAGTTTTCTTCTTCACAGATTTTCCTTACTATGTAGATGTGTCAACCAGATTATATCTGTTAGTGTATAATATAAAAGCCCTGAATAAGGGCTACATTCTTTTTTGTGAGAATACATTAACTGAATCTGCAACCAGGAAGGAAGCAGAGATGCATTTTTAACAGAGCACTTAAAAATGACTACATATTAGAAATAACTTCCTTCACACGATCTATTAACGAAGTACTGGGCTTACTCAGTAACTTCTTAGTGCTTTTAATATTTTGTGCTTGTTCAGGATTTTTTTGTGTGTTTTGATGTTGGTGTTTTTAATTGCTTATGTATTAGAAGTATTTGTTGCTGTTTGAATGAGCATAATATTGTTGCATTTTATCATTTTGACTCTACACTTTATCTTGGTTTGATCCTTCTTATTAAGTGCTGTACGTCCTATAAAGTTAATATATTTCTTTTTTATGCCATAATGGATACTCCTTAAAGTTTGGAGATGCAAAATATAGCAATAAAAAATTCAATTGAAGTTTTACACTGTATTGGAAACAGATGAAAATATTTGGAACATTGTTAAGAAAAAAATGAGACATGTATCAAAGATACATATAAGGCAAAATTGATATATCTGCTTTAGTATTCTCAGGAGGAATTTTTAGAAATCATTTGACTGCCATCATGAACAAAATGAATGAAAGCCGTGCATGGTGATAGCATAATTATCATTGTTTAAGATTATTTTTTAATATATAGCTGTATATATCTTTGCTTATGTTATTTGTGAGAAAGTTGTGTACTGCATTCAAAATGTTATGTTGAATTATCACGCCATTTAACAATGAGACAAGAGAGAAAAAGTGACATATGTAATGAATGAATAATTTTTTTTTAATCAAAATTTAAACTAGCTAGTTCTTTTTGGTGTAAACTGCAAATAACAATGCAAAGTTTCATTTGTGTATTTGTTTTTGTTTTGATTTATGAGTTGGACTTAATTAATAAACTTTCACTGTTATAAATCTGGTAGTTTTCTTTTTGAGTGTCCATGTTAAATACGTTTTAAAATTAATAAGAAGTTAATAATGACCTACAAATCAGAGAATAAAATATCACAAAATGTTTGTTTCAATGAAATATATTTATCTTCACTTTTGGCACACATCTATATATTTAAAAAAATGGTAATTTTATTTTTAATCAACATAATAAAACCATGAACATAGTTAAGTCTTCAAATAGTTGATATTATATTTTTCCAATTATGAAAGAGATAGACTGTTACATTTTCTAACTACATCCAAAAATAATTATGAAGCTTGAGATTTACTATAAAAACTTCTTCAAATGTTGTGCACGATCAGGTCAATAAGGAAACTTAACTGATATAATGTACAAGTTATAGAGCAACACGAATATAAAGTGTACGACTTATTTCTATGATGTCAACAGAGGCCAACTTCCGGTAAATCGAAATCAACACACGTGGGAATGGGAAAGCAAAATAAATCGCAAAAACTTGTACCAATGAAGGCAAAAATGAAAGGTTTGTAGTATTGTAAGATACCATGTGATTTCTTTAGGTTATTTTACACAGTTCTTATGTAAAATCTTGTTTAAATGCCATTTATAAATCTAATAAAATAAACGTAGTAAGAGCAGTCGTTTTTAAAAAGTCTGTTACAAAGAATGAAAAATCTTAAAATTTTCTTTATGAGGCCATGCATCATTAGATACATTTTTGTTAGATGTACTCCGAACTACGTTTTTCAAGGTAAGTTTGTACTCTGTGGTGCTTTTTTAGTTAGGTATTGGACAAAATGGTCAAAGCTATCATAAAAAAAACAGTCTTAGAAATTTATTTATGTTTTCAATATGTAACAGGAAGGGAGAAAATGTATGGCTAGATTGGAATCGAACCCAAGATAGCTCAGTTGGTAGAGCACCTGACTAGAGATGCAGGGGTTCCAGGTTTGATTCCTGGTCCAGCCATACATTTTCTCCTATCCTGTGACAGATTTTGTGCCGTTGACCACCCCTGGAATTGCAAATGTCCTGTCAGGGGGTAATAAGAACTTGGGTTGTGTCTTTGAGGGCAAAGACCATTTAAGGAGGGAGGAATGTAATGGTTTGGCCATTGATATGGGCTGGATAGCTCAGCTGGTAGAGCACCTGACTGGAAATACAGGTTTGATTCCCGGTCCAGCCATACAATTACATTTTCTCCTTTCCTGTTACATACAAGATAACTATACAATTTGATATTTATTTCATAGAGACGTCCTTGAGAAATCATACTATGAAACTTA